CTGTGCCCCTCCCTTCTCCCCCCCCTCTCCCCCCCCTCCGGCTGCAAAGTTGAGAGCCCTGCGTTCGTGGGGATAGCTCTGCAGGCCAGGACTGTCCCCACCACTGCAGTATGTAAGTGCCTTGCGAGGATAACCACTGATCCGGGCTGGGAGGTGGGGAAGGGTATCATCGCCCATTCTTACACATGGGGGCAGTCTCTACACTGGTGGCCTCTTGCGCAAGAACAGCTGTGCCAGGTGTCTACACTGCATTTGCGTTCTTGCACAAGTAAATTTACAGTACAGCATTGGAAAACAGGGCTTCTTCCGGAAGAGTTATTCCTCTCCCCATGAGGAATAAGCCCTCTTGCGCAAGAGGGCAGTGTAGACAGGCAACATGAATTTCTTGCGCAAGAAACCTCTATGGCTAAAATGGCCATCAGAGCATTTTTGCACAAGCGAGCGTCCACACTGCCATAGACGTTCTTGCACAAAAGCACATGCCACTGCAGACACGCACTTGTGGAAGACTTTTTGCGCAAGTACTCTTCCGCAAAACAGTTCTTGTGCAAGAAGCTGCCAGTGTAGACGTAGCCAGGGAGTAAAGGCACAGAGAAATTACATGCTTTATGCAGGTCAAGCAGATCTCCTGCTTTAAGTGCAAAACTGTCCAGAAGTGAAAGATAATCAAATAATCCCTGCCTGCCTTCCAAACATCCCCCAGCCCTTATGTGTGTGTCAGTGTGTGGAGCCTGATCTCATTGCTGCGGAGACAAAAGCTAAAAAAAGCTCAGCAAATCATTAAGTATAGCAAAAATATTTTACATTTTTCCCTGTATGAAATGTAAGAATGGATTACAAATCACACTGAATTGTCATGCATTATATTATTGTTATTATTTATTAATGCCAATCTTAGTTGGGGGCCTAAAATTAGTTGACAGTGTCCCTTGAATCATCTGGCAAGATGCTATGCAAAGTAGCCCCAGAGAAAAATGCCGGCACATAGACACAGTAACAAGTTGACATTCAGAATGTGTTTCACCACAGGCTGCTCCTCCAGCGAAGCCACAGTATGTTCAGGGCTGGCAGGAATTGTGTTCTCAGGAGGATGTTCGTCTTTCCTCTCCATCCCACACAGCCACAAGAAGACTCTCATCAGTTTAGACCCTTTTTGAGTACCAGCCACACCTACAACGATAGTTATTGGTGAGGTAAAATTCTGTCCATGGAACAAACCCCAGTAATACACCAGTGTTTCAAATCATCTACAAATTAATTATTACTACCCAGAAAATATATCAGAACTTTTCAAAGTGACATGTTTGTCCCACCAAGCTCTAGGTAGCCATTACAGCAATTTCTAATTGTTACTTCAATGTCATTTCTTTCCAAAGATCTGAATTTAAATCCTGCCATGCCCAACAGTTAGGAATGGGATCAGTAAGCCAAGTCTAAAAGCAGGTCTGCACACCTCATCGGCCATGTGTTTGTATATACTTGAACCCACTTTAGGCCAGGGCTAGGCCTCATGAATGCAAGTTCTGCATACTCTATTGAAGATTAGGGTGTGTATGATCCAACAGTGAGCTGTGGGGTGGGGCAGGAGGGAGTTAGAATGCCAATCACTAAAGGCTAAATCATCATCAGTGTATTACCTCATTGCACCACTCCATACTAATTTCATTGCCTATAATGGAATTTGCATCCACCAGTGTTGCAAAGCTACCTAAACAACAGTGCACATTTTGCAAATAGCTGACAATCAGCTTTGGGTGCTTGAGAAGTTCTGGCTCAGGATCTGTAATACCAGTGTGCACTTAACACAAGTGCCTCAATCCTCATTCTAAAGTGTTTGCAAACTCTCCTTTGCAACCTGCCCAGAGCTCAGCTCAGGGTTCTGTGTTTCTCCTGCCACTAGCTCTGGTCAGAAAATACCAATAAAACAGAAATGGAATGTTGTGAAAACTTCAGCTTTTTTCTTTCCATTTTCCAACCAACTCTCCTAGCAACAGATATTAACAGCACCATTGTCTAGGGCAGAACATGGGTTCCCTCCTCTACTGCAAGTATATGTGATGCCACATAAAAAACTGCAAGAGGAAACTTAGCCCTGATCTTTATTTTTTGTAGGTAAAAAGTCTTCCCGCACTGTGAAGATACAGAAATCTGAAAGTAGCAAGATTTATGTAACGTTTCCTGCCTTTCTAATCTTTACACAATGGACAAGGCTGATTTTGGTTGCAGTGCATGCTGTACAGTGTTAGCAGCACATTTACCTGTATTGCCGTTGAAAATATTTTCAGGAACAACACTAATATCAAGCTGGGCAGGCGGATGCTCAGACTTATACACGTCACTTCCAGTATCAGGTGAAGTATTGATTGCTGAGTCTTTCTTGGCTGGCCGATCCCAGCGTGTGAACCAGGTGAGATGATGGATCTGGCGGCATGAAGAGCACTGTTAAAGATAACTGCTTGTATGTATGCTTAAAGGGGACACCTCAGTTACTAAGCAGCTTTGAGAGGTTCTGATATTTTCTAAACACTAAGGGCCAAATTCTGGTTCCCCACCTGGAACATCTAATATTAAGATTCTACAGAAATAGGTATGAGGAGGCCAAATGAAGCAAGAAACAGAACAGCACTACAAATGCTGTTTATCCAGATTAGACCACGATCAGTTTTTACTTCACTGTTATGTTCCTGATGACAGTTACTACTAGAACTCTGCTGTAATGTGTCCTACAAAATTAAAAGCAGAGAGTGTATAAGCGTTGGTAGGTCTTTGTGATATTCTTTCATCTAATCTCATCTGGGATATCACACATGGAACCAGCACTGGATGAGAGTGTTTTGCATGAATGAGACCATCCACCCCCTTAGGTGCAGAATGGGTGTTCATTAAAACCAGTGAAAGAAACTTGCTGAGAGAGACGCACCATTTCTTCCGAGGGAGGTTCTGTGAGCAGGCTCACGACCACCACAGTGACTGTCGTGATGACACTGAGGATCATGGAGAAGTACAGGTAGTGCACGTATCTCACCACGGACGGACGGCGGTCTGGCTCCCCACACTGGGGCTGCAGGTAGACAAAATCCAGTACCAACCGGATGAAGCCCAGCAACATGCCAATCAGCAGGCCCCAGAACGCACCCTAGGAAATGAAGATCATGTGTTGATGAAGCAGGAGGCAGAATTTGTATCTGGCAATGAAGCTCATGCTGGCAATGAAGCTCTTTTCTGTGCTAGTCCCAACTGTGACGTTCTGATCACAGTCAGCGGGGACAGGGGTGGGTTTCTGAGATTCCCCTCCATTTTCTCCTCTTTACGTTATCCTAGAACTCGAGAGGTCATCAAGTCCAGTACCCTGCCCTCACAGCAGGACTAAGCACCATCGAGACCATGCCTCATACATGTGTGTCGAACTTGTTCTTGCATATCTCCAATGATGGAGATTCCACAACCTCCCTGGGCAATTTATTCCAGTGTTTAACCACCCTGACAGGTAGGAAGTTTTTCCTAATGTCCAACCTAAACCTCCTTTGCTTTAATTTAAGCTCATTGCTGCTTGTCTTATCATCAGAAGCCAAGGAGAATAATTTTCCACCCTCCTCCTTCTAACACCCTTTTAGATACGTGAAAACAGCTATCAAGTCCCCTCTCAGTCTTCTCTTTTCTAAACTAAACAAGCCCGCATAGCTCATGTTTTCTTTCTAGACCTTTAATCATTTTTGTTGCTCTTCTCTGAACCTTCTCCAATTTCTCCACATCTTTCTTGAAATGTAGTGCCCAGAACTGGACACAATCCTCCAATTGGGGCCTAATTAGTGCAGAATAGAGCGGAAGAATGACTTCTCGTGTCTTGCTCACAACACTCCTGTTAATGCAGCCCAGAATCATGTTTGCTTTTTTTGCAACAGTGTCACACTGTTGACTCATATTTAGCTTGTGGGCCACTATGTGATCCCTTTCTGCAGTACTCCTTCCCAGACAGTCACTTCCCATTCTGTGTGTGTGAAACAGATTGTTCCTCCCTAAGAGGAGCACTTTGCATTTGTCCTTATTAAACTTCATCCTGTTTACCTCAGACCATTTCTCCAGTTTGTCCCGATCATTTTGAATTATGATCCTGTCCTCCAAAGCAGTTGCAACCCCTCCCAGCTTGGTATCATCTGCAAACTTAATAAGCGTACTTTCTATGCTATCATCCAAATCGTTGATAAAACTATTGAACAGAACCGGTCTCAAAACAGACCCCTGTGGAACCCCACTTGTTATGCCCTTCCAGCATGACTGTGAACCGTTAATAACTACTCTCTAAGAACAGTTATTCAGCCAGTTATGCACCCACCTTACAGTAGCCCCATCTAGGTTGTATTTCCCTAATTTATTGATAAGAAAGTCATGCAAGACCATGTCAAATGCCTTACCAAAATCTAGGTATACCACATCCACTGCTTCTCCTATCAAAGAAAGCTACCAGATTGGTTTGACATGATTTGTTCTTTACAAATCCATACACACAGTGCCCCACATTCTGTTGACCTGTCCTTCCGGTGGAGGAGAGCTACTGTCTAAGCCTGCTGGTGCACTACTCACCCCCCCAATGTTGTCCTAGTCATGGCTGCTCTGACTATGGCTGCCCTGAGGATGCTCCAGATCCTGGATACAACCTTTCTCCAAGCCCCTCGCCCCACCCCGCACAACTGACTTTCCACCCCCAGGGACTCCAAGGCCTGGGTTACACCAGAGCAAGGCCATGGCTTGTAAATCACTGCTCCTAGGTTTGTGACAAGCTCCTTGCCACCTCTGCCCTCTCTCCTAGAGCAGCCAAGGGAGCTGCCTGAGAGCAGTGGGAAGTGGTCCCTGCTGCATGGGCTGAGTGGCCAACACAGGATGCCCCAAGCAGAAGTGCAGTCACTCCGCAGAATGCCCACACAGGAGGGGCAGAGCAGCAGTGCAGGGCAGCTGGTCTCGCTGCCTGGCTCTTTGTCCCTGTTGTAGACAGCGGCAGGAGAGGCTGAGCACCCGGCACCCAGATGACGGTGTCAGACCTTGCCCAAGGGTTACCTTCTCATTGGTTCTCTTCCAGAAACAGCCCAGGATGAAAACCATGGCAACGGGGGGCTGTAGGTAGGAGCTGATGGTCTGGATATAAATGAAGAGCTGCCCCCCTTGGCTGGCCTGCACCAGTGGGATCCACAGAATGGACACCACCACGAGCAGCAGCACGAACACCCTGCTCAAGAAAAAGGCAGTGTGAGGGCTGGCCTTGGCCCCTCCCCCGGCAGGAGGGTCTCCCCCGAGAGCTCCTCCCAGAAGAGACTTCCTCCTCTCGCAACTCTGCCCCGCGGTGCTTCCCATCATCCGGCCTTTGTCCGGCTGCATCGTGTGCCCGGCCTGGCTTCTGTCACTCTGCAGCCTTGCACAAGCACCCGCCTCTCGATCAGGGATGGGAAATCCTGGTGAATCCGTTCACCGATTAATCCTGTGGACAGGGGGCTGCTCCAGCCCAGCCCACAGTGTGGCATGGAGCGCCTTCGGCCCAGCCGGGCCCACTGCTCCACAGGCTGCTGAAGCCAGGCTGGGCCCATCGTGGGCAGGGGCTGCTTGGGCCAGGCCAGGCCCCATGCTGTACCGTGGGTGGGTGGGGAGCTGCTGCAGCCCAGCTGGGCTGGACAGCCCCAGCTCATGGCACGGTGGGCCCTGCCGGCAGGAGCAAGGAGCTCTGAAAATGGAGGAGTTGCCCTCCGTTTATAGGAGGGCACCTGTGAGCAGAGTGTGACGTAAGCCAACTCCGGGACAAGCGCTCTGATTCAACAGGCCAAGCCATGGAGCAGCAGTTCCCAACCTTACTGATACTGGGAACCGGCAAACCAGTCACACGCTTTTGGCAGACCAGTAACATTTTATTTGCATATTATGCAAATGATGAATATGCAAATACACAAATAAAATGTTACCAGTCCCCCAAAAGCCCAGCCCCCAGGGCTGCCAATCCCAGCCCGAACCCCTAGAGCATCCCACCCCTCTATTACTCCCCTAGCGCCAGCCACTGACCCCAGAGTCCCCTGCACCCAACCCCCCCCAGTGCCAACCTCCCATGCTCAGAGCCCCCCAGTGCCAGCCCCCACCAGTCCCCCCAGCTCCAGCCTCCTGTTTCCAGAGCCCCACTGCACAAACCCTCCCCCAGAACCTCCCCTAGGCCAGTCCCCATTATTAACCCCATCCCTAGTACCAGTCCTGTCCCCATAACCCCCCCACTACTAACTCAGCCTCCAGAGCCCCCCAGCACTAATCCCACCCCTGGAGCTCCCAGTGCCTGCTCTGCCCCCCTCACCTAGCCCTGCGCTGCTGCCCCAGTTGTGATGGCTCTGGAGCTGGGGTACACCGCCCAGCTCCTCCCCTCCCGCTGTGGCTGTTGGGAGAGGCGTGTCCTGCCCTGCCTCTCAGCCAACCACAACCATGCAGGGGAGGGTCTCCTTTGGCCACAGAAGAGCCTGGTGGTTGGGAACCGCTGTCTTAAAAGATTGGGACTAGCCTAAACCAGATACCAAAAAACTGGATGACTTCTGAAAAGAGACAAAATTAACCAGAACATGGAAATAATAAAATGATTTGCGAATAATCTTTTTTTGCCCTACAAGAAAAGACTAAATCGTCCCGAGACACATGAACGAACGGGGCCGGAAGTGCCGCCAGAGGTCCATGGTGAAGATGGTGCTGGAGCTGTTAAAGATGGAAGTCAGGGAGGACATAAGTGCTGAGATCATCACAGACATCATGAGGCCCCTGAGCCCTGGAACAAAGGAGGTGGGAACAGTGAATGTACAGAGAGGCTCCAGCTTCTTCCCTTATCAGCTCCCTTCTGAGCTCACCCCACCCTCTGTGCTTGGGGACTGCCACCCCTAGAGTCCCGGGCAGCAGGTAATCTCACAGGCCACATGTGCTGACTAGTCTTTCCTGTGTGCCCTGTTGCACGTTATTCCTTTTTGCCACTATCGCCTCAGGCCCAAATCAACCCCAATATCAGGACTGTCGTTAATTCCCCTCCCGTACATTTCCTACGGTCTTTGCTTTGATTAGCGTAAGCCTTGTCCCTGCTAGTTAGTGGAGTTTCTCACCTAGAGGCAGCAGTTCTATGACCAGTTTGGGGTAAGCAATATCAGAACAGCCAGAAGGGTTGCCACAGATTTGCCGACAGATTTCTGGGTCTGCACAAGCCACCAGGTCTACAATAAACACGGGAGGAAAGTAAGCCAATAGTTACAGGACACAGATGTGTCCAGACAGTAACCATGGAGTGAAACCCATCCAGCAGACAACAAAGCACACACAGGCATACACAAGCGTAGCTCCAGGCTTGCTTCTTTCTTATGTCTTTATTGAGTAAGGGTATGTCTACATTGCACCCTATTTCGAAATAGGGATGCAAATTAAGACATTTGAAATTGCAAATGAAGCTGGGATTTAACTATCCCACGCTTCAGTTGCATATTCGCATTATGGTGCTATTTCAAAATAGCGCTATTTTGAAATAAAACGCACTGTGTAGACGCATTATTGCGACAGAAAACCCTTCTGTCAAAATAATCCTTATTCCTCATAAAATGAGGTTTACCAGTTATTTCGAGAGAAGGATTTTCTCTCGAAATAACACATCTACACAGCGCATTTTATTTCAAAATAGCGCCATAATGCGAATATGCAAATGAAGCATGGGATATTTAAATCCCGACTTCATTTGCAATTTCGAATGTCTTCATTTGCATCCCTGTTTCGAAATAGATGCAACTGCAGACATACCCTAAAAGATCCTTGCAACTGAAATAGGGGTTTAATCAAAAGATTTGCCTTCACAACTCATTATTCTCGTATGCCTCTCTTCCAGGGGTGAGAGGAACTTCAGTTTCTTACAGGTACTGTCCTATTGCTCCCGGGTCCCTTCCAGCTCTTTCCATAACTTCCTGATTACGCCGGAGCTGCGCATTGAAGTGCACCTGCTTCCTTTCACCTCTGCTTCTCTGAACATGGTCCCCTTTAAAACTAATGCTTTTCAACATGAGAAAACAGCCTCCCTTCTGACATGCATGAACACCGACAGACACGCATGCTCGCTCGCGCTTGGTGGCTTAGAGCATCCAGGGAGCAGTCTTGAGGGTGGTTTTTTTGCTTTTTGCTTTCCTCAGTGCCTCAAACATGGGCTCAAGAGGGAACATCAGCGGGGCAGCTTTTAAAGCTGGGTTAGTACAAGACACACCAGGGATTTGTGCTCAGGATGAAGGGGTCTGATCCCCGAGCAGCCAGGCGAGCACAGATCAACAGTGTTATCTGAAAAAAAACAACAACCTCATGAACTGCAAGTTCATGCACCTCACACCTGAGCTGCTACAAGCTTTTAGCTCATTCTGGAGGATACAGAAACCACAACCGCAAGGAATAGTTCTCCCCTTCAACTCTTACCTGGGAAGAGAACCCGGCTGATCATGCCTGGCATCACCATCATGAAGAGAGGCAAAATTTTCAGGTAGGAGGCCAACAACGAGCCTCCTTTGGCATGAGAGAGGTTCTTGGCTGCGAGGGACCTTTGAACAATAACCTGTAAATCAGGAGGACAGTTCGATCCGGTGCTTTGCAGGGAGAGTAAACAGACAGGAGATGACGTGAGGGTCGTTTCTACTGATAATGGGACATGCTGATTCCAAAAGCATCATCATGATGGATCATATCGTGCAAAGCGCTGAGTGTTCTTACCTCCCATTGGCCACTCTGAACCTTGCAGGGTCATGCTATAAATTAGCTCACTCGCCCGCAGTGCTTTAACTAGCGCATCTTGCCTCTGTGCAAGAGAAATCTCAGCGTGTTCATTTCTAAGCTATGGAAATCACAATCCTTGTTTTACTCCACAGTTTGTTCTTTCTTTGGACCCTATATATTTTATGCACCTGGATGTGGCTTGTTAGCTACTGTCTCACAAACCAGGGCACAGGGATAAACTTACTGACACCCCCGAAGTCAGTGGTTCTCAAACATTTTGGCCCATGGCCCACCCTGTTCAACATAAATCTTTCTGCGGACCACCAGCCAACCACCCATGATGACAAAATGGGTGGGGATGTGGGACCTGGCCAGGAACTCGGGTGCAGGAGCAGACTGGGAGATGGGGGTCTGGGTGGGAAGTAGGGTGCAAGAGTGGACTTTGGTTGGGGGGGTCTGGGCGGGAGGATATGTCTTGAGTGGGATGGGGGTGAAGGGTTTGGATATGAGGGAGATGGGGGGTGCATACTGTAGTGGAAATGCAGGAGACGATTGTGAGGTCGAGGAAGTTAGGTGGTGTACCACAATCATTCCTTTTGTGCCTGCATTTCCTTACAGGCCTGGGGAGTGCAAGAGTGCTTGGGAAGATCACATAGCTATTTATGCTAAATGTTTCCCACCTGATAATGCTTATTATTTGGCCTGGGAAACTATGCAAAGTATCAACAAGCTAATTATTGGATGTGGGAAAATATGCAATGTATCAACAATCTTGGTAGGTTCAGAACAACAGGGGTGATTACTGTAGATCCAGCAGTATATAAAGGCCAGGAACATTCCTAACATTGGAACCTTGGCGTAGACCAAAGCCGCAGAAGGTGCTACTCACTGGCCACTGGCGGCGGAAGGGATGTAGGCATTGCATTTTATTCTGAGGTTTGCTTAGGCTTAATAAGCATTTTATTTTTTTTTAATAGACATTGCGTTTTATTCTGAGATCGGCTTAGGCTTAATGAGTATTGTATTTTCTTACTAGGCATTGCACTTTATTCTTAATAAGCATTGCATATGATTCTAAGATTTGCTTATTGTATTTTATGCTAGGATTTTCTTCATTGTATTTTATTCTAATATTAAGCATTGTACTTTACCTTAATATTTGCTTAGTAAAACCTTTAAGCCTTCACCCAACTTATGTGCTTATTACCTCCAAATCCCTTAAGGGAAGAACCGTTGCCTCTTGGCAATACACATACCTGGCTCCATGCCTCCCTCCACTCCTAGGTATCACCCTGCACTGTGCCTATTGGCTGGAATTCCAGCCAATCCACTAACGTAGAGAATCATGCCCTAAATTGACCCTCACTCTATAAAGAGTTTGATAAACAAACTCCCCAGAAATAGGTAATTCATATTTCGTTACAATTCTTCCGGACACTGATATTTACAACTGGAGAGAAAGCAACGGGAGTCCTGCACAGCGTGGTGGGGATGAGTTCTCAGTTGGGGTTCACACCCCTCTCCTATTACATGGAGAGTTCCAATGATCCCCAAAAATCTAATTTAACTTAGCCACAGGCATCAAGTTTGATCTGGTTTGAGGTTGAAAACTGATTTCACATGGTTTCCAGAGAAAGATTGTCCATCTGCCCGGGTCCTGGACTGAGTCTGGGTTTTGTAATGAAACTCAGCCAAGTTGCTTGCTATGAAAGTTCTGTATGGCTCAGCCAGATGGCATGTCTCAAAACCCAACCTCAGGGTTGAATCTTGTGAAGTAAACACTGACCTACCTGATCTGTGCACCAGTACCACAGAGATGGGATGGTCATTCCAACCAGAACTCCTGGCCAGGGAAGGTCCGAGGTGACGGGGTCTCGGAAAATGTGGAAGGCATCTTCTCTTGGCAAGCCACAGCTGCTGTTTCCTTTGTGGCTACTCGCAATGGCTTTAAAGTATTTGGCCTGCAAACTTTCAAGGCCGCCAATTTTAACAAAGCCTAAAATGGAAATAGGAAGCAGTTACCACACTGATCAGGGTCAGGCTATTACTTTCACTCTCTGCAGTTTGCTTTGTATGATCCCCAATCAGCATCCACTGAAGTCAATGGGAAAACTCTTGATAGACTTCAGCTGGAGTTGAATCAGGACCTATAATGCCAAATCCGGTTTAATACCACAAGTTACTTGGCTAGAGGAGGTAGCTGTTGGCTTTGATATGAATCTCAGACCATAGGGGTGTTTTCTGTGTATTTGGAGAAGGGGGAGTTCATCTCTTTCACGGAACACCCGTATACTTTTCACTCTATAAAGAACTCTCGCAAGATGATTTGTTTAGAAAAGATTCTACAATGCTATGAATGCGTATGTCAGAAGATGCACTAAAGACATGTTAAATGGTTTGTTCCGGTGAGGCATGTTTGCAGGAACAAATGTATTTTTAGCAGTACAGTCTGAGAGGGTACTCACTGAACCCCATAAGAGTTAATGCCCCAGCCAGCATGATGACCGTCTGCAGTGTGTCGGTGTAAATCACAGCTGCCAGGCCACCTACAGGAAAAAAAACAGAGGGACAAATTGTTGGGAACTGGGTTTGTTCTGCAGAATGACACCTCCTGCTTTGCAAATGTGTGTTGGCCAGTGGTGGAGCCACAATGCTCCGACTGATACGCTGGGATGTTCGGTGAGTTGTTTTAACCATTTTGTGGGTGGACTGGCCAAGGCTGAAATGTTGCAAGTTTTGAACCACAGTGAGTCAGTGTGTGTCATCAGAAACCCAACTTCCACAGCAGAAATCTCTACAGGGGAGGCACTGGAAACCACAAGAAGGAAGAACCTGACTGAAATAGAAGCTGCTTCATAAAGTCTGCAACAAAAAGCGAGGAGCTGTCTGGCCCACATCAGGGGGGCGAGTGCCTCAAGAGGAGAAACTTCCATTCGTTTCATAGAATCATAGAACCATAGAACCACAGAGCTGGCAGAGACCTCAGAAGGTCATCAAGTCCAGCCCCCTGCCCAAGGCAGGACCAATCCCAACTAAATCAACCCGGCCAGGGCTTTGTCAACCTGAGACTTCAACACCTCTAGGGATGGAGATTCCACCCCCTCCCTAGGGAACCCAGCCCAGTGCTTCCCACTCTCCTAGGAAAACAGTTTTTCCTAATATCGAACCTGGACCTCTCCCACCTCAACTTGAGCCCATTGCTCCTTGTTCTGCCATCTGTCACTACTGAGAACAGCCTCTATCCATCCTCTTTGGAACCTCCCTTCAGGAAGTTGAAGGCTGCTCTCAAATCCCCCCTCGCTCTTCTCTTCTGCAGACTAAACAGACCCAAGTCCCTCAGCCTCTCCTCATAGGTCATATGCTCCAGCCCCCTAATCATTTTGGTCGCCCTCCGCTGGACCCTCTCCAATGTGTCCACATCCTTTCTGTAGTGGGGGGCCCAGAACTGGACACAATACTCCAGATGTGGCCTCACCAGAGCCGAATAAAGGGGAATAATCACTTCTCTGGATCTGCTGGCAATGCTCCTCTTAATGCAACCCAATATGCCATTAGCCTTCTTGGCTACAAGGGCGCCCTGTTGACTCCTATCCAGTTCTCATCCACTGTAACCCCCAGGTCCTTTTCTGCAGAACTACTACTTACCCAGTTGGTCCCCAGCCTGTACCAATGCTTAGGATTCTTCCATCCCAAGGGCAGGACTCTGCACTTGTCCTTGTTGAACCTCATCAGATTTCTTTTGGCCCAATCCTCTACTCTGTCTAGGTCACTCTGGACTGTATCCCTGCCTGTCAACGTATCTACCTCTCCCCCTAGACACACGTTTCATGCCTTCATGGCCCCATTTCCAACCAAGTTGTGCAGGTATTTCCCACATCACCCTGCCACTTACCGCTGGGTGTTGCTCTCTCTCACACACCCATAAACCCTAAACCAGGGGTGGGAAACCTACAGCCCGGGGACTAGATCCGTCCCCCAGCTTGCCTTGGGGCTCCCCCCAACATCAGGGAGCCAGCACTGGCGCTCCAGCCCTGCATCCCCACTATGGGGCTGGAGCATCAGCATCTTACCTCCCACCCAAACCCCTCTACTGTCCCCGCTCCTGCAGCCCCTCCACTCCAACACCCTACCTCCCACCCAGACCCCTACAACTCCAATCCCCTGCCTGCTCCTGCACCCCTTCCCGCCCACACCCTGCACCCCCACTCTGCTCCTGCTCCCCACCTCCAGCCTGCTCCTGCACCCTACCATCCCAGACCCATCAACCCCAACACACTCCTGCACCCTGCCTCCTTCAGACCCCACACTCCAAGCCGGCTTCCCAGCAGTCCCCTCCCACACACTGAATCACTCATTTTTGGCCCCACCCCAGAGCCTAGGGAGGTCCACAAAATCTACTAGCCCTGCTCCCCAGGCCTTGATGTGCAAGGGGAATGTGGAGAGTGTTTTTCTGCTTCTCACTTGGGGCCACATCAGTGATGATTTTGGGGGGGGGGTTGTTTCTCACTTTTGTGTGACACCCGACTGATTTTTCTGTGGGTCAGTTGCCTCTGACCCAAAAAAGGTTCCCAGTCCCTGAAAGAAAAGTGCTGAAACCCCTTCACTGTGGCTCCCTTTTGAACCAGAGTGCTGTGCACAGATCCGGGCTGGCGCGAGCAAGCCCTTTACGCCAGCCTTGTGCAGTTCCACTCACCCGCTCTCACCTGGAGAGTCATTCTTTTGACACCTGCGTTACTCTAATTCATTTTTTCAGTATCAACAGCCATCTTAGCAAAGGGCAGACAGATTTAGTGCCATGGCGAATGAGAAGGAAGTACTTCAAGAACAGTACCTTATTGAAACTGCCGAATACTTACTACAGGGGAGGTGGATGGCACATTGTACGGCCATTCTCAGCCATTAACAAAGACGTATGAGATGGCATTGCTATGACCCGAAACACAGGGACGCACCTGCCACAGTGTAAACAGCAGTGATTGCCAGCAGACCTATGACAGCCACATAGAGGTCCCAGCGTAAGGCTTGCTGAATGAACAGGGCCCCGGCGTACATATCCACCTAATGGGAAAAGAAATTGAGAACGGGGACGGGGCGGCAGCTCGGTGTCTGATGCCAGACGCCTGAGCTAGCCAAACCGTGTGTTTCTCAAGGATGACCCTTAACAGGCATCTGCGCTGTGTGCTGTTATAGAGCGGTGGGCTAGTAACGGTGCAGCCTGCTTGCGTCTGGCTGGCCTGGAGCGGCTGCACTGCAGAAGAGTTTGGTATAGAATAGAGGCAGCCTGCAGCCCATGGAAGCATGCATACATGCAAAGCCCTGATGATGTTGGCCAGCTGTAAATAAATGGGCGTGCCCCGTTAGCCAGAAACTGGGGATCAGAGAGTTGAATAAACTGGATTGTTGCCGTATAAAAAAATCCTACGAAGGAACAGCCACCTGGCCCAGTCTGACACCAAAGGCATCTTCAGTTTCAAGGGCAGGGAGGCGGGCGAGAGGCGTGTGTCAGACTATCTTTCCCACTGCTGCCTGTGAAAGGGAAAACACCCAGCCAGCGAGGAGTTTTTCTTCTCAGCCTGTCAATGTAGGCACTACGCGGTGGTTAATTAATAGCTGACAAGGCCCTGCACAAAGGGCGAATCCATCACTCATTCAAAGCATTAGCACAAATAGGAGCATTCAATTACTAAACGAGGCTGCTAGTAAGCTCGCTGCATCTGCTGGAGGGAACATCCTACCCCTATATGCTCATATACCCTACTGCTGGCAGAGGAAATGTATAGAGAGGAGAAATCAAATTAACCGAGCAGATGCCAAATATCTTACAACAGATCAATCGTCAGTGCAACCGACTCCTTCCCCTTTGTCTGGACTGACGTGCTCAGATACATTACCGTGCTCTCCTTCCAACAGCAGCAAATGCTCCAACCATTCACAGTAAAGCTTATGGACCCTGGGGGTTGGCAGGTCTCGAAAGAATTGAAATCCGTCCCCTTTCTCCACTCAGATATTCAGGGCAGTCCTCCTGCCTTCTTCCTACTTACTGATATTTTGGTGAATATGTAGATAAACAAGTAGAGAATTGCCAGGAATATCTGTATTCTTTTGCCGCCAAAGCGTTTCTGTAAGTACTCAGGCATAGTTGTGACCTGCAGGGAAGGAGAGTGTATCACAGCAGGTAGAATACAGTAACACAGACATGGGTACAGCCCCTGCGTGGTTGACAAACTCTGGCTAGCTGCTGGGTCTTGGTATATCTGCTAGGGATATAGAAAAATTAATACAAATATTAACCGTGTAATCGATAACAATTCTATCGGTTACATGGTTAACCACGGGACTGCCGGCTGCTGCGGCTCCCGGCCCCACTGGCCTGCCAGGGCTCTCACGGGGCTGCCAGCTCCCAGCCCCGTGGGGCTGCCAGTGTCCTTCCCCCAAACACAATGTAACCAGTAATGGTAATTGGTAACCATCCGCTTATCGGTTAACCGGTTAAACTCTTACGTCCCTAGTGTCTACCGGGAAATGACTGTCCCTCCCAGCGCCACACACGTGTACAACGAACGGTCACCCGTATTTTGCGTGGAGGGTCCGGCACGAGGCCCCGTGAGGCTACTTGACAAAGGAACCTCCATACCCCTCGAGACCGCAAAAGCCCCGCTGCTTTGTTTCCTGCCTCATCTGGGAACCGTGAGCTCCATGTGTTCCCCTTGCCTAATGCTAGCTGGTGTCACCCGTCCCGCTGAGCACAGTGGCCCAGACTTGCCCCCAGTTGCGCGGCAGCATCTCCATCACCTCTCCGTGTGCCAGGGAAGCGCCGTTCCCACCCAAACTCTGGCATCTGCCCCTGAAGCCTCACTTAGGAGGAGGCAGCGCTTGCTCTTGGCCGTGGGCCATGCACGGCTCCTGGGGGCTCACGAGTGGGTCCTCCTGTCCCCTCTTTCACCCCCTTTCTGAACGACGTTTTTTCATCCAGGAGATCCCGACTGAGCTCCTTTCCTGGGAGAATCTTTCCCAGGCTCTTCCCCCCTCGGTCAGTACTGATGGTATCCAAGGAGGAGCAGACCTGCAGGAGCCTCCATACCCCTTTACCTTTACCCACAGTACAGGGCCCGCTGGCAGGTTCGGCCGTAACAACCCCGTCGACTGAAAAGGATCATTAAAAAAGCAAGTCACTGATACACGCAGTGTGGCCCCCTGACTTACCCCCGCTGCCAGGTAAATAGGAAGAAATAGCCAGGCCAGCACCAAGACACAAAACATCCCCTAGGGAGGCAAAAGAAACGGGGTCGGCAATAGACAAATGCTGTTGTCAAATGGCTAATGCCCGTGCATGCATCTGTGTGTGTGTACAGGGTGAACCTCTCTAGGCCAGCACCCTGGGGACCTGGCTCAGGGAGGTCAGTGTTGTCTAACAGCATGACCAACACTTCTACCGCTTGCTGGGCTCTTGGAAGACATTTTGGGGTCAATCAGAGCCAAAGAACAGCACAAAACCCTGAGAGCCAGGAGCGGAGGTTGGAAACAAACCTTATAGGACTGCGGGAAACTTGGCCACCCTCATGATAAGTGGCCATCCGGCGAACCAACATCCTGCCGGACCACGGGTGCTGCTGGACCAGAGAGCGCCGGACTAGAGAGGTTCAGCTGTACATACACGTGTCCAGCTGTGGCCCAAATGTGCTGTCGAGCTGACAGCGAGCAATGACTCTCTAGCTCACGTCCAAGGTCATGGGCTTTTGGGGCAGAGGGATCTGAGCTCTGTTCC